GGAACTTGGTCTATCATTTATATGGTCTCTTGGCTTCTATTGGTTTGGGACATGTTTAAAAGGTTTTTGAGTTCTGCCAATAATTACCCAAATAGCACTTCTTTCTGTCAGAAACCTCAGCCTGAAAGTGCTCAGCCAGAGCCCCATGCTAACCTAGGTCTATGAATTAAGTACATAGAGGCACTCCACTTTTAACTGAAAGCACTCAACTTTACTAAGTCTGTAAGCAAGGAATTCTGCAACGTTATCTTGTGCTGTGATTCTTGGTTTTGCTACTGCTGTTCTTTTGCCATTCTTGTAGTATTACAACATCCTTCACAATCAAGGAGTTTCAGAATGTAGAACCACAGCCTGCACTACACTCATGACTCGTCTTTCTGGTTGACAGCGAGAGCTTAAAAGTTTGGATCCTTTTGCTGTACATATCTGATTCCAAAGTTAATAAATGCATTATGTAGAGTGCATAAAATTTCAAGAAGCCCTAAGACTGCTATGATGAAAACCACATCCCATAGCATCAACTTTCTACAGATAACCCATCCTTGTAGTCCAATAGAGCTGTATACATGAGACATTGTGACATCCATTTATGTTGTGTCTAGAAAGTAGACAACAAACAAAAGCAATGGATTTATGTCTATATAAATGTATCATACACGTGCTATACAACTCAAAGGGGTGCTCTTGCCATTTCAAATAGCTGATGTCCATTTTTTCAGTAACTGGATGGGCATGATAAGGCTCAAGTGTCAGTAAGGGCACCATAATTCAAGTGTTGGATTCACATTGGTTAAGAACCCACTACCTCTTTGTTTCTGTTTTTCTGCAACGTGGATGGCTCTGCCTCATCACTGACTGGCCCAGCTTTCAATCATCAGCTTTACATTAGCTGGCAGTGCAATGTACCTAGAAGCAGAATTGTTCTACGGGTGACCCCTCTAATACTATATGGGCTCTGCATCACTGGTTCTGTTGCTAGGCCTTCTGTTTAGCATTGATGTGCTAGTTGTTTTCACCTGTATGATGTGAATCTAATCATCACCATTTCTCCCAAATTCAGTACTATTGGGCCAGTGTTTCAGGCCTTAATTTTATACAGATCTTTATCAGCTCTGGGATGCTCTCAACTCATTGTCTCCTGATTTAATATCCAATCCATTTCTTGTTGTAGTAAATCTGGTGTTGTAGTGGCTATTAATTGGGCTGCTTACTACAAGGTTGGTAATTCAAAACTAACAGCCACTCCATCGAAGAAAGATGGGACTTGCTACTCCCATAGAGTTAGTCTCAAAAACTCAAAGTTCTGCCAGGCTTTATTTACTTTTAAAAATGATGTTTTGTCTTTGCTTCTTTAAACTAATCCATCAGATTAAAATATATGCAAAATAACCTTTAAACTTCAAAAAATAACTAATAGAAAAGTTAAATGGGCTATAGCATATCATAGGTTCAAAAGCTTGAGAATGATCAGTATAAATATCTTTCATGTTTGGGAAAATAGACATTTTCTTAAATGAATTTATGAAGTGCTAATTGGAACATCATCAGAAAAGCAACTGCATGCTTAGTTATGTGCAATGCCAACATTTCATTTTATTTTTGATTCAGAAATTTCATCTATAGTATTTTATCCCTAAGGGGAGAAAATTAAACAATCTAGCTCATTTTAAAATATTAATGGCATGCCTACATGCATAGTTTTGTTTTTATTTTAGGTAAATTTACTAAAACATAATATTGACAAATTATTTATTCGACATCAACCTGGTGATAGTAGCTAATAACATAAGGCAAGGAAAGACATCAAGTCTATCCAGCTGAGAAAGAAGAAATTATCGTTATGTGCTGATGCTATGTTTCTATATTCTGAGAACCCCAAAGGCTCCAGAATAGGAGTGCTGGAAGTAATAGAATAATATGGTAGTATAGCAGGATAAAAGATCAACAAGCAGAAGTCAATCATATTTCTATTTAAAAGTGAGGGGATTATAGAAAAAGAGGTCAAGAAGGTAGTACCCTTCAAAATAGCTAAGCATAATTGAGATATTTAAGGATATACCTAATTATCAAACAAACTAACAAAAAGATCTGTACAAGGAAAACTCCAGAACATTATTACAAGAAGCCAAAAGGGACCTTCACAAATGGAAGAACATCCCATGTTTATTGATAGGAACACTCAATATCGTAACGATGTCAATTCTACCCAAGGCACTATATAAGTTGAGTGTAATACCAATACATATACCAGCATCTTTTTTCAAAGAAAGGGAAAGACTGACTACCAACTTCACTTGGAAAGGGAGGAAGCCCAGAATTGGCAAAGAACTGCTCAATTAGAAAAATAAAGGGGGAGGGCTTGCATTATCTGACTTTAAAACTTACTTTGGAGCCACAGTTGTGAAAAGAGTATGGCACAGTTATAATGACAGCTACATGGACCAATGTATGGGGCCAGAAAATCCAGAAATAAAATTAGCAGCATACAGACAATCGATCTTCAATAAGGGTCCAAAAAATATCAAATGGGAAGTGGATGCTTTTTTAACAAACCATGCTGGTAAAAGTGGATTTCTATCTGTAGAAACATGAAGCAAGACCCTTACTTCACGCCATATACAAGAACAAACTCAAAGTGGATCACAGACCTCATGGTAAAACCCCAAACTATCATAATCATCAGTGAGAAATGTGGGACAAGGATAAGAAACTTATCACAGGGAATACATGGGCTATCAGAAATAAAGGATCCACACTCATAGGAAGATAAAATAGACGAGTGGGACATACTAAAGATAAATCACTTGTGTACATCAAAAGACTTCATCCAGAGAGTAATAAGAGAGCCCAGAGACCGGGAAAAGATATTTAGCAATGACCTATCAGACAAAGGGCTTATCACTGTGGCAGTTACATAATCTCCGTCAACTTGCAAAGGGGTGAAGTTTAGTCTGTCAATCAGGTCACAGTTTGATGACCTCACTTTGGAGGCGCTATGGAGATAAATAGCTTAATGGAGGCCAGACCCATACAGACTCTCTCTGTTTGTCTCCCTGTGAGACATTCCTATTGACAAGCCACAGGGAGCTATCCTGATGGTATCCAGAACCTTAGATCTAGAGGAGACACATGGAGACCCATGCTAGTGCTAAAATGCTTCCATCACCACTGGATGCACCTACTGACTGGCCTGTGATCTTCCTGCATTCAGCGTCATTGAATGTGCTGTGTGTGTCTAAAGAATATTTTATGAACTAATATTGGACTTATGAACTTGATATTGACTGGACTGGGAAATTTTCTTAATATACAATTGTTCTTTTATAAAAAGCTCTTTCTCATACACATATGAATCTCCTTGGATTTGTTTCTCTTGTCTATCCAGATTAACACATCACTAAAATCTGTACTATCCTGAATGCTTACAATAATTAAAAAAAAAATGAATTGCCCACTGAGGAGATGGGTAAATACCTTAAACAGAAGATTAACAAGGGAAAAAACCCAAATGGCCAATAAAGACATGAGAAAAATGTTCCTGCTCATTAGCCATCTGGGAAATGTAAATAAAAAAATGTTAAATCTGTTTGTGGTAGTTACACAATCTGTTGTCAATTTGAGACTATTATGAGTGAAGGGGTGTAGTCTAGCCTGTTGATCAGGTCGCAGCTTGATAACCTCATTTGGAGGTACTTAGGAGATAAATAGCTCACTGGAGGCAGGACACGTGCTCACTCCCTGGGAGACATTACTGACAATGAGCCCGATGGAGCTTCACTGATACAGCCAGAGCCCTGGAGCTGAAGGAGCCACACAGAGTCCCACACCAGTGCTGAGAAACTTACACCATCATTGGATCCATAAGACTTCCCACACACTGGTCTGTGGTCTTCCTGAATTCAGCATCATTGCATGGCTGCATGAGTCTAAAGAGGAACTTATGGACTAGTATTGACATGTGGGGTAATATTGGACTTATGGTCTTGATCTGGTCTGTGCTGGGATGTTTTCTTAATGTACAATTACTCTTGAATATAAAGCTCTTTCTTATATACATATGAGTGTCTTTATGAATGTGTTTCTCCAGTCAACCCAGGCTAACACACTGTTAGATAGCACATAACACTCACAAAGATAACCCAATTCCAAAACTCAGGAAAACAACAAATGTTGGAGAGGGTGTGGTGAGATAGGAACTTTCATTTACTGCTGATGGCCTGTAGATATGTACAGCCACCATGAAAAGCATTTGGAGATAGTTAAAAGAAATGGAAATTGAGTTACCTTACAATACAGCAATTCCACTACAGGAGAGCCCCAGTGCTTGACCGCTTTAGTACTTTTCATAATCAGATTTCAACGTGAAAAGTCAAGAAAATTTTGCATCATTGCCCAAACAAACATCAGAATGCGACCCAACACACATGATTTTTGTAAACAAAAGCAGTTCGTGTTTTGGTCACTTAGCATTAGTTGGCATTGTTAGTTCGCGTTGTTTAAACATTTTGCAGCTGTGTTCCAAGCATTTTACTTTAGTTTTCTCAGTTTTTGTGGCTTTATGCACTGTTTTTAGATTTAAAAAACATGGGTCCTAAGAAAGAGTATTTTGAAAAGTATTATCGTGATAAGGAACTGGTTAACTGTGTATTGTTATTGATAGTTTAGTAGACCCTTTTAGAAAACAGTTAAGGAAATGACAACAGCAGACCACATTAGACAATTTTTGTTTAAAGAGAAAGTCAGCCAGGTCCTAGTGAAAGGGCAAAGAAGGGGGGGAAAACTCCCAACAAGCAGCTACCAGTTTATTTTATGGAAGGGGATTCCCCTTCCAAACAATGACTCTGTCTCCAAACCTCCTCTCCACATCTGTGTCCACAGATCCAGATCCTCATCAATCTCAAGGTATGGGCCATACTATAGTTGTTAGAAACATTAAAAACTTTTAAAAATGTGTTTTTTATTTAAATTATATTATTTCGTCTCGCTGCAGCACTGAGAGTGGGATCGCCCGGGAACTCTTCTGGGAGCCGGAAGCCAGGGATTGCGTTAAGAAAATGGCAGAAAAGCCAGACATGGGAGAAATTGCCAGCTTCGATAAGGCCAAGCTGAAGAAAATGGAGACGCAGGAGAAAAATACCCTACCGACCAAAGAGACCATGGAGCCGGAGAAGCGGAGTGAAATCTCCTAATCCTGGAGGATTCGTCCCCTCCATTGTCCACCACACTGATGTGGAGGAAGAGTCACCTGCAAGATGGAAACGAGCGACAAGCTGCACTGTGAACCCACTGGCCTCCGGGTCTCCAAAGGGACTACCAAATTCTCCGGTCTGCTCTGGGATACTATAGAAAATTATTTGTATGATTAATGAAAGTAAAACAGACCTTGTGGCATAAAAGTAAATAAATAAATTTTATTATTAAATTCTGAACGTATTTACTTTGAAATTTCTGTTTAATGTTATGTATAAAAAGGCATAGTTAGGGTAAAAAATTGGTGGTTAAGAATGGATAGATCTGTTTCCAGTTATTTATTATGAGAAAAATTGATTCAGAACTCAATTGCATCGTATCCTGACACCCCTTCTAGAATAGATTAGCATCAAGGTCCAGGGTTCTACTGTACTGGGCATATACCCAGAAGATCTAAGATAGAGATCTTGACCATACATCTGCACTCTGATGTTTATCGCTGCACAGTTCACAATAGCAAAGAATTGGAAACAGCCTAAATTTCCATCAATAGACAAACGATTAAAAAACTATTGTATACACACACAATTGAGTACTATGAATCACTAAAAAATAGTGATGAAAAGATGAAGCACCTCATCTCATGGAAAGAGTTGCAGGATGTTATGCTGAGCACAAAAGGACAAGTACAACACAAGCTTACTGAGGTAAGTTCAAACAGCAGAACGGGCATATAGGAAATTACCCATATTGAACAGTTCCCAGGGTGAGGAACAGAGGGATACTATGGCATGAGCCAGACCAAACCTAATGATACATACATCATCAAATTTGAAAACATAATGAAAATACATAAATAATTAAAAAAAACTTAAAGTTGCAAATAGCAGCTTTACTGAAAGGCATCCCCTCCCTACCCTCCATATGCCTTTAAGTCCCACAGAGGAGTGGAGGAAGTAAAAAGACACTCAAAGGTAACCAGGGCACTATTCTACCCAAAGAGTTTATATCTCCACAGGAAAGCGAGATGAAGGGTAGACCTCACCCAGGTATGTCAATCCTTGAGGGTACAGTTCCTGCTTAGAGTAGTTTGTTCTGAGAGTTGATTGCAGGGCCAACCCTAGCTGGAGCCATGACATCCCCTCCCTAGATGACAGCACTACAAAGGATAGCACTGAAGACACAATTTGGGAGAGTGGCTAGTCTGACCCCCCCCCCCCCACACACACATGGGACAAACCCAAGAGGAGAGTGCAACAGACCAAGGATGGGAATGAAGTCCCCAAGGAATACTGATGGTAGATTTCTGACTCTGGGAGCAGCACTTGACAACCCCTGAACTGGTTGGGGGTTATTCACAAGGGGTCACAGTGAAAGTCTAAAGGGTAATGGAAGGTGTGTGTGTGGAGGGGTGAGTATTAGACTGCTCCATCCCTGACTGCAGGAAGCTCTATGGGTATTTGTAGGATATGTGCTTTTCAGACACAAATGCTGAGGAATATAAGGGCATAAGTGCTGTTAGGCATGTAGGTCCCAGGATATGGAACCCTGAAAGAAAAACAGAGTGGGCTAAGGCCTGCTTGCTATTTAAGAGAAAGCTATCATCTACTCTGGTCCAGGATACCAGTTAGACTCAAAACTATTTATATGGTTTCTCTCCCTCTCTCTTTTTCTCTCTCTCGGTGTCTATCTATATAAGATAGGCAGGAAAGACAATGCCATGGAGACAGCGATGGGAACAACCATTCCAGAAGAGCATAAGAGGGACTAAGGTGGGGAGAGATGAGTAGTAAGCCAATAATGACATGTACAGGGGAACAGCAAGGGTTATATAAATGAGAGAGGGGAATGAAGGGTAAGTATGATAGTGGGGTAGGAGGAAAGAATGAAGAAAAAGTAGAAAGAAGAAGAAAGTAAAAATTATATATAGGTATACATATAGAGATATAATATGTAAATATATAATGATATAAATATAGATGTATCTATCTATACATGTACATATGTGCAAATACAACAAGGAAGGAGATGGATGTTGGGCCACAAGAATGGTTTGTTCTAATAATGTGGCACTGTACAATATTCACCTTCATGATAGGATCACTGAAGACAAAATGGGCACATAAGAAAATATGGTGAAGAAAGCTGATGGTGCCTGGGTATTAAAAGATATAGCTTCCTGGGTCATAAAGGCTTGTAGTTAAACAAGCTGCCATCTAGCAGGGAAGCAAAAAAGTCCATATGGAAGAAGCACAGCAGCCTCTATGATCATGAGGTATCAACAGGAATAGGTATCAGAAGTTCAAAAACAAGCAATCAAATTGATGTGAAGGAGCATAGACAAAGTGGAGACTCAAAACCCACCTGTAAGATATTTGGACAGTCCCTCAAAGAAGGGCCACACAGAAAGGATGATATATCAGGGTGCAGTACAGCACTGATGAACTATGCTCTAGTTCTTTAATATTTCCTCTCCTTACTCTTAAGGCTTATGTTTTACTTCATTAATATTTGTGGTAGTTACATAATCTGGAGTCAACTTGTGGAGGGGTGGAGTCTAGAGTGTCAATCAGGTTGCAGCTTGATGACCTCATTTGGAGGTGCTAGGGAGATAAATAGCTCACTGGAGACGGGACACTTCCTGAGAGATATTCCTGTTGAGAAGACACATGGAGCTACACTAGAGCCCTGGAGCTGAAAGAGCCACATGGAGACCCCAGCCAGCACTGAGATGCTTCCACTATCATTGGATTCACAAGACTTTCCACCCATTGGCCTGTGATCTTCCTGCATTCAGCATCATTGCATGTGTTCTGGGAGTCTGAAGAGGAATTTATAAATTGGTATCCGACCTATGGGCTGATATCGGACTTTTTATCTGGACTGGGCTGAGATGTTTTCTCAGTATTCACCTGCTCTTGTATATAAAGCTCTATCATATACACATATAAGTCTGGATTTGTTTCTCTAGTCTACTTGGACTAGCAAAATATTGTTAGAAATATAAGGTTTATGTTATAATTAAGATTGGTTTTTTTTTGAGGCAGAAATGGCAAGATGGATGACCCTTCAGAAACAGCAGCAAGAGTAATTATTTCCTGAGGATATGGGATGAGAAGGGGGTTGGGGTCGGGGCGGAGCTGATAGCAATGATGACTGTATATCACCGCTTGAGGGTAGTGAACAACAGAATTGTAGGTGAATGGATATTTTGGATGATTGGATGGGGTAATATATTGGATGGGATAGAATGCAGTTCTCTCTCCCTCTGGAAAAAAAAAATATATATATATATAGTGTTAGACAGGGTTCTCTAGAGAGATAAAACCAAATTGCTGATAATTTAATATATTTATTCATAAAGATAATTAGATATATAACAAGAAATGAACTGTTAAATCATATACAGATAAATATACAATACAAGAAATAAACAGTTAAATTATATAGCACTACAAATGGCTCAGTGCAAGTCATGTCCGTGAGAGAAAGTTGAGAGACTAGCAGTCCTTCCAGTCTAGTCTGCTGCCAGATCTTCCTCTATTTGTAGAGAGAGCTAGGCTATGTCAGCACAGCAGCCAATCACAAGGCAGGTCACCAACCGCCAGTCCTCAGCTCCAGAGATGTCTTTAAAGGGACCTCAACTTACAGCGACACAGTCCACAGGCTAGGTGTCCCACAGGTAGTGTAGCCTTTAAATTGAGGCACAGAACAAGCAAGGCAGCCGCACACTGGTCCAATGACCACAGAGTGAGAGACAAGAAAGGCAAGGCTCACCAAGCCATTTATCTCTCTGCCCTTCAGTTAACCCACTTGTGTTTATCAGCCAGGCTGGCACAATAAACTATCTCATATATACACACACACACATACATATACATATGTATTCCACTAGGGGGTGGTGGGGGAAGGGGAAGGAGGGATTAATTGGAAGGTGGTATCAAATAGTTCAAGATGAAAGAAAATGTTTTGAAACTGATCGACTGATTGTAGTGGCAATTATACAATGATGTCTGATTCACTTCAATTATGGAATGTTATGACATCCATAAGAGCTCCCAATAAAATGTTTTAAAAAATTAAGAAAATAAATGATCACATACTAATTATTTGGGAAAAACAAACCAAAAAACCTCAAAGGGACAGTACTGTTCTTGTCCTATAGGGTCGTTACGAGTCTGTATCATCTTCATGGCAGTGAATTTGATTTGATTTGGGTTTTATGGCTTTCGTCCCTTGGAGAGTTCAAAATCTCTGTGGTATTATTGTTGGGTCGGGTAGGAACTAGGCAGCCCCCATTTGGACTAAGCTGAAGCAGGTTCGGGCCCTGCACATGCTTCCCTGCATGTCCCAGAGGTCAGCAGCAGTTGGTGCCAGAGAAGATAACCGGTGAAACCTGATGTTCCCGGTTCAAAGAAAGCCTCCAGGAGTTGGCAAGCAACTCTCCCAGTTTCCAGACCCCATATGCTAATTGCCATACATTCCTCACCACTCCTTTAAAAACCCTCGCCCCCAGCTGCTGAGCACGACTTCCCTGACCTGTTGGCCTAGGTCACGGAACCTCCCATCCAGGAGCTCCCCTAACCCCTAATAAAGCTATTTCTGTTTCTGCTCTCCCTTGTCCTGTCAGTTACCTCCATCTTCCTCCCTGTGCCTCAGTTCCACCTTTACAATGATCATTTTATATAGTAAAACGCCCATCCTAGCATGGCCAGTCTGACCAATAATTTTAGGCATCCTGCTGCTAGATCATTCTTCTTAGATGAATTTCAAACCAAAGGCACAGAAATGACATAAAGGAATGAATGTTACCTTAGTGAAATCCGTGAGATTTCTAGGTGGAGGGTAGATGAGAATTCTTTCTAAGGATGTCCATTTTCAGTAATTTTCAAATTATTTCAAACACGTGAAAGTTAAAATTTAATTGGTTTGAGTTTCTGACTTCCAAGAGTAATTTAAAAGATGCTTAAGAAAGAAAATTAAAATATTGACCGGCAAA